ACTTGACCCTGAGCAATGTCGCAGATGCAGATGTCCCACATATGAAGGATCTCCTGAAGAAGTACAAGCTCGACAACGTCCAGTTCTCTGGCCTGCGTCTCAGCTCATCAGCCTGTGTCGCATTCCCCACCTGCGGCTTGGCCATGGCTGAGAGTGAGCGCTACCTACCCAAGCTCATTACTAAGCTCGAGGGCTGCCTCGAGGAGAACGGCCTGAAGCAGGAGTCCATCGTCATGCGCATGACGGGATGTCCGAACGGCTGTGCCAGACCCTGGTTGGCGGAAGTTGCCTTCGTCGGCAAGGCCTACGGCGCCTACAACATGTACCTGGGCGGCGGCTACCACGGGCAGCGGTTGAACAAACTGTACAGATCAAGTATCAAGGAAGATGAGATTTTGGCTATTATGAAACCGTTACTGAAGAGGTACGCGTTGGAGCGCGAGGAGGGCGAGAGGTTTGGAGACTTCTGCATTCGATCTGGTGTCATTGTGGCCACCACAGAGGGGCGGGATTTCCACGACAATGTAAGTCATCCATTACCCTGATTACATCTCCCACGTGCTGACAAGAACTAGGTTGCCGAGGACGAATCTGATGAGGAATGATGCATTCATCTATCTGTTTAGAACATAAGAGCGTCAGCCGCTCGAAACTTGCATACGGACTGGCGTTCCTGGAGTTATATACTAGCATAGTCTAGATCTATGGCCTGTCTGGAGTTCGCTGTGATATCTATTGAAAAGTTATATATATATATGTCACAATTGATTTATATTCAAGCATATATGCATATTTGTTTTCGACTTTTGGTGGTCGTGAGGACAGTCGCAATGTATAATGCTGTCTCTCTCTCTCCAGATTTTACAACCATATCCACCAAAGGAGACAATCGTCATCATGTCAAAAGCCTTTTATAACTCGTATATCTTAGTAAATATTGAAGAACATATGATCCAGGTATGGTACGATCGTCGTCTCAGTCCCTGGATGCGTGGATGTGTTGAAGGACTAGAACTGCTAGAGCGCAATGGCAATAGGCGGTGACTTGAAACATAACTGGTACAGTGGTCAATGCATCCCATTCGTTGGGCGGTTAGAGGGTAATCCACAACTAGAAACCATCCCCAAACTTCTAGTTCCAAGTTCTCATAACGTCGGTATAAACTCCAGGACTACAGCTGCCATCATGACATGTGCACAGTGTTGTCTATACTGTATGATCTAAAGGGAACTCTAATGGAGCGGATGCTTATGTACATACGTACTGCGGACCGGCATGCATCTACAGAGATCACCTGCAGCTCCATGCAGGCCCGCAATCCTATCTAGGTATAAATCCATTGGCGGGATTATAATAGGTCGCAGGTCGCCTTGATACGAGACCTGCGAAGCCTATTTCGTGCTCTGGACCTTGCTTTATGAGCAAGTCGGCGAACTTCGAAGAATTTAGTTGGGAGGATCTAGGTATATTCCGGGAAATAAAAACCAGACGTTATTATTCTTGGTATAGTTACTCAAGAAGAACATGAGAGCCATCATCAATGACTGTCCACAGAAGAAGAAGAAGTCGGGTTCATCACCAGCAGCACCAGCAGCATGTGGCTCATAAACACCGAGACGCTGGAGCGCGAGTACGTCGAGAGCCCTAAGCCGAAATCGTACGCGATCCTCTCGCACACGTGGGAGTCCGACGGCAGCGAGGTCAGCTTCGCGCAGTTCGGCGACCTGCGCACGGCCAAGGCTCTCCCCGGCTTCACCAAGATCCAGCGAACCACCGTGATCGCGCGCGAGCGCGGGCTGGCGCACGCCTGGGTCGACACGGTGTGCATCGACAAGAGCAGTTCGGCCGAGCTGTCCGAGGCCATCAACAGCATGTACCGGTGGTACTCCCTTGCCGCCGTCTGCCTGGCCTACCTGTCGGACCTGCCGAGCGCCGCGCGCGTCGCCAACTTCTACCCCGAGGCCGGCGCCGACGACGTCCGCAGGCTGCAGGGGACGTATTTCAAGATGTGCCGCTGGTTCACGCGCGGGTGGACCCTGCAGGAGCTGCTCGCGCCCGCCGAGCTGGAGTTCTATGATTCCGGGTGGAGTTTGTATGGTGACAAGCGCGCGCTCGTGGCCGAGGTGGCCGATCTCACGCATATCCGGCCCGACGTCCTGCGCGGGGAGACGCGCCCGCAGGGCGTCTCGGTCGCGTGCCGGATGTCGTGGGCGGCCGGGCGCGAGACGCGGAGACCGGAGGACCGCGCGTACTGTCTGCTGGGGCTCTTCGATATCCACATGGCGCTGCTGTACGGCGAGGGCGAGAGGGCGTTTGTCCGTCTGCAGGAGGAGATCTGTCGGCAGTCTACCGATCTGAGTCTGTTCGCGTGGAAGGCGGTGCAGAAGAAGCCGGCCGCGTCGCTGGTTGCGCAGGAGTTTCGGGGGATTCTGGCGAGTTCGCCCGCGGAGTTTAGGCATTGTGGTTCTTTTACGGCGTTTCAGGGGTACGTGTTCTGAAATTATTTTTCTCTCTCTTCTAGTTTCTTCTCTTCATTTTTTTTTCTTCTTCTAAGTGGTTGCGTCTCCTTTTTTGGGAAGCCCCGGACACTTGGTCTGGAAACCCCGAAAATATTTAAAGGGGTATCTACTAACCCAGATCGCGTATAGGGGCCAGGCCCAATACCAAGGCGAGTTCGCAATCACCAACCGCGGTCTACGGCTCGACCAGATGCCCCTGTACCAGAACCCAGACGGCGGGATCCTAATGTGCCTGGACTGCATCGACCAGGACGCATCGACACAGGGGCCCCTGGCCCTCCGCCTGACGAAGGTGGCCAACACGTACGTGCGCTCGCACGCGCACGACCTGTTCGACCTGACGTGCTCGATCCGCCTCGGCGGCGGCGGCGGCGTCTTCGACGAGAGCCGGCGCGCGCCGTACGCCGACCGCATCTACATCAGCAGGGTCCTGACGCCCGAGGACTCGGCGCTGCTGCAGAAGCGGTCCCTCCGCGTCCGCGTCCGGGAGGACGCCATGGCGGAGAAGGACGTCGGCTTCGATATCGTCGCCGTCACGCCGCGCGAGTGGTGGGACCCGCTCCAGAAACTGTTCTTTCTTGATCAGCGCGATTTCGTGTGTGCGTTCTATGTTGAGGTTAAGGGGTCTGCTTGGCAGAATGGTGAGTAATACTCTCAGTCACTTTTACCCATCCCGCCGTGTTTCAGGAGCAGCAATCTTCCGTGATATTATACCTATTGAGGAAGTAAAGAACTCCTTATATAAGTCATATAGCTCCCGATACCTAATCTGCTTATTTTCTGCAAGAGAAAATACTGACTCCCAATGCCATAGTGTACACAGAGAAGTTCGTCCTCGTATGTGGCATTGGCGACGTCGTGGCGGGGTGCGGCCTCAGCGGGCACTGCGGCGAGATGACCTTCGACGGCTTCAGCGTCAGCGGGCGCCGCGGCGACGTCAACTCCCATTCCCCCGTCCCCGGCCCCCTAGACTCGCACTCGCAGTCACAGCCACACCCGACGAAAACTAACTGCCACCGCCTCGCGACGCTCGTCCGCGGGGACAGGCTCACGCGGCTCGAGGGCCAGCTTGAGCTGCGCCTCCTGCTGGAGAAGATGTCCGCCAGTGCTGGCGCTGGCGGCGGTGTCGGCTTCGGCACCACGTCCGCCATGATGGCGGGCTTCCTGCAGAACACGCCCGCGACGGTCCGGGGCCGCCACTTCATCGGATACCTGGACGGCGAGCTCGACCCGGACTCCGACGGCCTCGGGTATAGCCTAGAGATCCGGTTTGAGCTCGGCCATACGGGTGTGCGCGGGCGCGAGTCGACGAGCAGGTTGAGGTCGTTTACGAGCCGAGATACGGTGCTTTCGACTGAGACAGGATATAGTTTTAGCTCCTAGGTGGAATGTAGGTACGCTTTTGATGGGTCTTTGGAAGCATTGCTCATTCATCGTGTTGGTTTACAATTCCATATCATAGTGGATATCTACCCTCTTGGGGATGGGCAGCTGTGACTACTGGGGACGTAAGGGAGCTAAAGGTTAACGTACAAGTGGCGGCAGTCCACATTTGGTCAGATTTATATATATGTACATATATGTGTTTATATTTATTGGTATTTGCCTCGCGGCTGGATTAGAGTTTCAGGGAGGGCTCTCAAAGGTCTTGATATTGTAGACGTGGCCACTCACATAGGAGATGGTGGTTTTAAGCATGCGCTCTAATTTCATGGGCAGGCGAGCATACCAGTGTGTTTTCAAAGCCGACATCATTTTCCTCAAGGCATAATTTACAGATAATATAGTGGCTTAATCATGCGAGCACACCTCTGAACTTGCTTCTTTTCTCGAGGTCCCATCTACCGACTGCGCTATCCGCACATCCTGCTCAGTAACCCCTTGACAAACCAGCGACCGCCGAATTGCGCCTGCCTCGTCCCGGGATCCTCTGGTCCAGTTTTCTCGTATAACCTGAAGGAGTTTATGCCATCGTAATGCGAAGTTCGATGCCTCTAGGACCATATATCTTACCCGCATTATGTCGGCGGGTGATAATCCCAGCAGAAGACTGCGGAGGCCGACCGACAGTCGCTCTATCGCTACGCAGTCGATAGCGCGATGGATTCGCTAAGGCCGGTACCCAGCCTACACCTTGGTCAATTGCCTCCCTTGCGACAACGCCAGTTTCAAGCTCAAGCTGCGTGGCCTTGCATCCTAGGAGAACCAGGTGGTTTTGTTGAGCAAGCGTACGATAGGTAGTGTCCCTTTGGTGAGGGTCAAGTATGCCTCGTCAATTGGATGGGGGGGCTTCGACATGGTTCTCAATTCCTTGAACAGTTACACGGGAAGTACAGAAAAACGCGTGTCTACATTTCACATGTGGCTGGCGATAGTAGTATGGTTTCTTGCTGAGTAGAAATAGATTGTAGTCGGGGAATCATTGAACTCGTGTTTCTTTCATAAGGTGGTATTGCGCCATGATAAACATAGTCACATGAGCAACTTTGGTCTAATGGTTAGGATCCAAGCCTTCCAAGCTTGGGGTCGGGGTTCGATTCCCCGGAGTTGCATCTACTTTTCTTTTTCGACCTCTTTCCAAATTCTAATTACCCAGCTACTTTTACAACTTTACTATTTCTTTTACTTATTGATATCTCTCTTATCCCTTGTTGGAGATTTATTCCTGGTTTACAGTGTATCAAGTAAAACCCGCTTTTTCACAGTATTAATTATCACCCTACGTTGTGCCCTAACATGTCATCAGTTTAATATATCTACCTGAATTAGATTATAAGATCAAGTTTATCACTACTGAGTCTGATATACGCCCTTTCCTTTCCCGCTCGTCTCTTTATACATCCCTAACCATTATCCATGGCTCATACCATATTCCCAATCCCTTCTACTACTTTACAAGCCCATTCCATAAAAGTATATCGACTAAATATACTTAGGGCTTATCCCAACCCTATCCATTCAATCATTGATCTCTTTTATAATCTAAAGAAGCCCTATCTCGGACTGTGATGCCCCGATGTTTGATCATACTGTAGCTCATATGGACCTCTCGCAGTTGAAAGCTCGTATACTGAGGGAGTAGCGTAGGCTGGGGCTGAATGCGGCGTACTACCGACTGTTGACCCAAACTGAGAAGGCGGCGCATCGTACTTCGTCATTTCTGACTGCTGTGCCTGCAGTCGGGCATTTTCTCTCCGTGTCTTAAAAAGCATAACAGTGGTAGAAATGAGGCCTAGGAGGAGTGTCAATCCCACTCCAAGGCCGGTCGCTAAACCGACGGTCGTCGCAGTCGGCGAGGACGAGCATGTATCTTGAGGCGTAGCATCCGTGCTCGGCGTCGCAGTCTGGTCTGTTCCCGAAGTTGTTGGCGTTGCTGTCTGACTTGCTTCGGCATTCGTGAAATTACCAGCCTGAATCACATTGTTCTGGTCGGCAGGCCGTGCGTCCTTGACAAGTCCTGGTACTATCGTAAAAGTGTTGTCTCCTCTGCAATTCGAGACATTCTGCCCACAGACCCAGTTCGTGTTTTGTCCGTTACACTGTCGTAAGTTTCCCCATTCATAATTGGTGTCGAGACAGAGCCTGGGGCAACGAGTATCTTCGAAAGATTGGTCAGTGCAACTACCACGAAGGATATGGTTGTTGACTGTGTCGTAGCAAAGACCGTTGCTTAGACATGCTATGGATACTATCAGTGGTTTTCCATCGAAAGCATGAGGAGGTAGCAGTACTGTGAGTCTTGTCACAACAGGACTGGACGTCAGTCTGGTTCGGGAAACACGCTTGTCCCCCACTATGAATAGCACCATTCGGCCAGTAGCAAGTTTGAGACTGTGCTCCAAGTCCTCCGAATATAATAGAGATAGCGGAAAGCACAACCAGACTATGCCGCCGCATTTTTAACGTGTCGGCCGCATATGACGGTTACACGCAGACTAGAAGCAGTTGAAGGTGTTTTCGAGAATGAGTGTGCAACATGAACCCACGTGGTTCTGTACGACTTAAGAATCGACACAGTAATACTATCAGAGGCGTAGACGAGATTGGTAAGTCGATCAGGCATTGCGATCTGTCGATCCTGCCCTCATTTCGTCCCCCGGCGCCCCTGAGTACCGGGGCTATCTTGCGGCACAGGCTGACCACTTCACCAATTAGATCCAGCATTGGCTGAATTGTAACCGCCGATGCAGTAATGCGGCGTATACGGAATAAGTACAACACATTGTTGGTATAGTGGCCTAGCTTTCTTCGTGCTAGTGGTGTTATTGGGAATAGACATAGACGTACGTAGAAGCCACTCAATCCGATGACCACCCGCGTCAAGTCTGGCTGTCTGACTACTATCGCAGGCGGAGGATTCAGCAATGCGATGAACCGCACACGCTAATTATTAGCTGTGATAAGTGATTGGGTGCATGGTACTGGTTTGAGTCCCCATTCGACATCTCGAGGCGGGGAAAGGAAAACTTCAAGGGTAAGGCCTTAGCTCCATAGAGGTTAGTGGCGTCTCAGCAAGTGAGGCACAGGCGGCACGGTGAGTAGCAGGCCAATGCCCATTATATTTCTCAGGGATGCTATTCAAGCTTCTACGCCTTTTGATTTGCAAGATCGGGCCTTCGTCGAGCAGGTTTGGAATCTAGCCGCCTGAGGGTCATTGTACAGAACCTACGCAGCAAGCAAGGCTCGCTCTAGGGAATATAATATAAGAATCCGAATAAGTATTATACACGCTCCTTGTAGATAATCGCTGATTCAACCAACAAGATGTCCTACTCTCACATTAATAGGGCTGTTTTAGTCTCCCCGAACTTCGGCAGTCGAGGCGATAGATCATAGATGCACTAATACCTAGGTAACAACCAACCCCATATTATACCTAGTATTACGATAAAAGTTACCTACACTTAGGAACTGATTCAAGACAAAAGTACCCTGTGCATAAGGTTGATATGTGATGCTCGGAGTCTGATATCAAAATAATCAAGAACAAATGTTCGTATAATCACGTAGGAGACATGACTTATCTAAGTCTGTCAGTGTTATAGCATATTTTATGCCGAAACGTGTTATACCGTTTATTTCGTATGCCAATAGGACTGGGACACTGCCTTGTATAGGTCCCTTTAAAGATGCGAAAGCCTATTATAGCTCCTAGACCAACACGTATCTTGAACTTTTTCCTGATGGGTGAAGATGATATAACCTTAGGACAAGAGTTGCAGCGTTTAGAGGCACCGCACTGTTAGTTTGAATCAGATGAGATACGACGGTACCTCTTCGGCCTAAGGATATGGTTGAGTCTCATAATGGATGAAGCTGTCAATGTGTTCCAAGGTCTAGTGGCGACCCTCGAAGGCGACATGCCTGACTGGCAAGAATGGCGACGAATCAGTCTAAATAGATGGATGGATGATCTTCGACTGGCCGCCCTTATCCAGGCTTCGCTGGAAGGCATGCCATTCCGTCCAACTGTTTCTAAGGTGCTTGCGTCAAGGGTTCTTCGCTTTGCAACCTGCTCCTATGCGGACTGTGGCCGCCCAACAGTCCTCAACCAAAGCTGCTCAACATGCATGAAACATCGATGTGCTGTCCACAGTCTACCACGGCATCATATATGCATATCCACTGCGCTTGTGAGTACTCTAGTTTTCTGTTCGGTATAGGCTAGATAACCACATGCACTAACAAAAACCAAGGTTGATGATGCCGCCTGGGAGATGAGTATCAACAGGGAAGTCGAGACAGTCCTTGCCCATGTTGATGTATCTGAGTTTTTTCGCGTGGCCAGCTCTCTTCACAAAAGGAACCCCTACAAATTCTATCCCGGGAAGCATATAGGAAGCGGTGCTATCATAGGTTGCGCAAATTATCATGCCTGGATTGTCTTTAACGATGGTGTCACAAGGGCTCATTATATAAGGGCTTAGGTTGTACCTATCTTGATAATAAATGGCTTTGGTCCTAAGGTCCCTAAAGAAGGGAAGTTTTTCTTATAGGTAAGGGGAAGCCGATTAGGCCTAAATAGCCTGACGGCGATCACGTGACCACGGACCAATTGGTCCGTGTGACAGATGGAGTAAGGTGGCTTGCTCTAATTCCTCGGACTACTGATTTCAGCGACATCCCCTTAGATCTTGTTGATTATCTAATCGAGGGTAAATACGCAACTCTTAAGTTTTCAGAGATCCTCGGCGTGCGTACTCCCAAAGCTCATGGACTTGGGGTTTCCTCTGACCCTAGCAACTTGGTCAAAGTCAGCTACATACTCGAAGATCTCTTAGCCTCCATGGTAGGTATGTGTATTACATTAGGAAAATAGTAAAAGAATCTAGGGGAAATTAATGTTGTCGACTAGCGGAATGTCATGGCTGGTATTTTCACAGTCATATTCATAATTGTAACGGTTCAGGGGTATCAGTAGCAAAGGAGTGGAAATCATAGGGGTTATATTACTGAGAATAGATGCCTCTCCCCTCCTTATACCCCATACCGAGATCAGCACAACTCAACAAGTCGTCGATAGCCACTCATTCAAGGCAATTACAATCATCATGCCCCCCCCCCCCCCCTCCCCCCCAGTGCATAGCCTATGCCCAAGAAAAACACGCCTTCGACAATTCAAATACATGATACTAAAACTATGAAATCTACTCTACCTATCTAAACATCGATCCAATGCAATGTCAGCGATTGGGTATTTTTCAACGTGTGTGAAATTTCTATAGACTCAACTATGGCAATGTATTTCATTTCCTGGTAACATTCGTTACCAGTGCCCATATTCTATAATGGCAACAATTATATGAAGACGATCTCTCACTCGACTATGTAGGTCTTTCACGCTACTCTTCAACGTAACCTAGACCGTTAGGGTACTTATTAAGCAGCCTCAGCATCTTCTCTTTGGCTCTGTAACTCGTGAGTAGCCGCTAATTCATATAGATGACCACATACATCTCCAGCAATGAAGCATATTGTGGCCGCATTCCAGCCGTGCAAATATCGTTGCGTCTTCCGAATCTTTAGTAACGGATTTCCAATTTTGCGGGCGGACATAGACTTACACGGTATACAAATTATGGCGATCGTAGAAGTCCTCTTCTGGCTCCGAAGCCCCAACTTCTTCCTTATACAATTCGATAAACTTCATCCCTAGGGAATAGCGAGGGTCTCCCATGCATTGGAGATCCACTGCAGCAGTTCATCGTTAGGGTCAAACTCTTTAACTCGGCATATAGACATACTAACTTTCATTATGTCCATAGAAACAGCACGAATCAAATATAACTAGCATGTTCGTTTCTTCATCCATCTGAATATTCCCATCCCAAAGGTCACCATGGCACAATGTAGGCTTTATATGCCTGCCACCAGCCTGTAATGGTCTCAGGAGTCTAGGAATCACTTTTTGGATAAATTCGCTGGCTATCTCATTCAGCTCAGTGTCAGGTCCAATCTCTTTCTGCGTATATTTCAAATTAGCACGGAACAAGCGTAAGAAGTACTCTTCCCAATTATCTGTCCACTCATTAATCATGGGGTGTGACAAGGG